GGGGATGCAGGAGAAAATCAAAGTTATACACTGGATCCAAGTTCCAAGTCTCGAGCTAGGAATATTTCATAAGATGCAAGAAAAAATCGAAGTTGTACACTGAATCCTAGTTTCGAGTCTCGAACTAGGGATATTTCGTAAGATACCAGAAAAAATCAAAGTTGTACACTGAATCTTAGTTTCAAATCTCAAGTTAGAGATATTTCATAAGATGAAGAAAAAAATCGAAGTTGTACACTGAATCAAGTTCCAAGTCTCGAGCTAGGGACATTCCATAAGATGCAAGAAAAATTGAAGTTGTACACTGAATCTAAATTCTGAGTCTCGAACTAGGGATATTTCATAAGATGCAGGAAAAAATCGAAGTTGTACACTGAATCCAAGTTCCAACTCTCGTGCTAGGGATATTCCTAATTCATATTCCAAGTCTCGAGCTAGAGATATTTAATAATAGCATTATTTCTTGTTCTTTTTTTAACAACATTCCGGGTGGTAGAATTCAAATCATGAACCTCTCGGTCAAAAATATATATTTTAACTAGTTAAACTATGCTCAAATTGATTTTTTTTTCTAAAGTATGTGTGTACTTTGCCCACGGATAACATCCGTGTTTCAAGTCAAAATTAACAAAACCAGCCCCATAAATTTGTGTTATTAAAAAATGACCCCTTTTTTATTTGAAATTAAAATACTCAAAATCTTTTCATTACAATTTTCATCCATATGCCAAAATTTATTTTTGTAAACACTCGTTATAAATTCACAATTTTTAAATAAACTTTATCCTATTTTTATAATAAATTTATGGTTTATAAATATAAATTAAGGTACGTTTGGCTTCAAAATTAAAATAATTTAAACTTTATTATATAATAATTTAGTTCCTACGTAAATAATTTTATAGATATAATGACAAAATTGTTCTAAATTGAAAATGGGTGAACTAAATCGTTATAAACAAACTCAAGGACTAAATTGTCAATTCCATAAGAATGAAAGATTTTTTTAATGTAAGTAGTTAGAGAATACTTGTTTTAAAAAAATAAATGAATAAAAGGACGGTAGTTATCAAAATTTGGACAGGATAACTAGATTGACTTTTCGTAAGTCTTATCATATTGCTTCGTCTTTTTGAGACTTCGCCGTTGCATTACAATTGTAGAGTCAACTTCGACTAGAGCTTCTTGGCACTATCTTAACATTCTTTTTTGGATCTTGAATCAGTTGTTTCTCATTTCGAGTATTTGACAAGTATTGGTTTATTCCGCTCGTTCTTCTCTTGACCCATGATCTCTTCTTTGGTTAGACCCTGTTAAGTAGGAGGTCGTGGAGGTGTAGCTTCACGGATTCTTCATGGGTTATGATCCTCCTATAAATCATCTCGTTCTTGATTTTGATTCTCGACTTTTGACTACAGTAGCAAATTGTTCTCGTCAATGTCCTCAAACCCAATAAAAAAATTAAAATTTTCTTTAAAAAGGGTAAGAGAGATAATTTAATTAATTTAATTAGCCACTTGCATAATTAGTTGTATAAAGAAGGTTAAGAAATTAGGGTAACCCACCCACCCCCACCCCACCCCTCTTGTCTTAACCTCCTCCATGAAAGAAGAGATAATAAAAACTCAAACCCAACCACACCTTCCTTTACCTTCACTCCTACTCAAACACACCCATAAAATATTACCTTAAAGTCTCCTAAAATAAACTCCTCTTCTTCCTCTTCCTCGATGAGCTTGTCGGTGCCGCTCCCCTCCGCCCCGATGGTGAAGCCCTCCGTCGCCCGGCTCAAGCCCCACCTCCCGCTCCTCACCGTCGTCCTCTTCGCCTTAACCTTCCTCACTCTCTTCCACACCCAACGTGTCACTTTCTTCTCTTCTTCCTCCATTTTTAAACTCAATTCATGCACGCGAAAATCTGCCTCCTCGAAAACAAGTAGGTTTGACCGTCTTTTTCAATTAACTTTTTTTTTGTGTATTACTTTTAGTTTTAAATTTTTTATGATTCTGAATGGGAGGGGAGGAGCCGTGGAGCGACCCGTTAATGGACGACCGGTTCGAGTTCGACCCGGAGGAGTGTAGCATAGTAAATGGGAAGTGGGTTTTTAACCAATCAATCAAGCCGTTGTACACGGACCGGTCGTGCCCGTATCTAGACCGGCAAGTGTCGTGTGTCAAGAACGGGCGGGAGGATTCCGATTACAGGCATTGGGAGTGGCAGCCGGACGATTGCAGATTACCCCGGTTTGAGTTGGTTGGAGTTGTTTTTAGTTCGTTAAATTTGGATTGGTTGTTGCTGATGGAATTTGGTTTGAATGACAGATTTAACGCAGAGATTGCACTGAAGAAGCTTAGAGGAAAGAGGCTGATGTTCGTTGGGGATTCATTGCAGCGTGGCCAATGGCAGTCGTTTGTTTGTATGGTTCAATGGTTGATTCCAGAGGACAAAAAGTCTCTCAAAAGAGGCCGATTTCACTCTGTTTTCAGTGCTAAGGTACTCTTTGTTCTGTTTTTTTTCGTGTCAGGACCTGGTGGGGACAGATACGTCTCCCGACTCCTATTACCATGTTAAGACATGTTTTATAATAGGTCAAGCCCACCGCTATCAAATATTGTCATATTTAAGTTTTCTGTTTCGAGGTTCCCTCAACGTTTTTAAATGGTTTTTAAAATGGTCTATTAGGGAGAAGCTTCCACACCTCTTCAACCGACGTGATATCTCACAATCTACCCTCTTCAGGCCCAACGTTATGTTCTCCTCTCTGATGTTGGATCTCACACTCTATCATTTTTAGGGCCTAACGTCCTATTCTCTTCCCTGATTTGAGATCTCACAATCCACCATCTTTTGGGCCCAACGTCCTATTCTCCTCCCTTACGTGGAATCTCACAATTCACCCTCTTTAGGACCCACCGTCCTATTCTCCTCCCTGACGTGGGATCACAACCCTCTTTAGGGCCCAACGTCCTATTCTCCTCCTTGATATGGGATCTCACAATTCACCTTCGTTCAGGGCCCAGCATCCTCGCCAGCACTCATTCGCCTCTTTAATAGATTTCGTTCTCCTCTTCAATCAACATGAGATCTCAGATTTTTCATAGGGTTATAAGTGGGAATTTGCAATAATCGGGTTCCATATTAAAAAAAAAGAGAGAGAGACTCTTCTCTTCCCTGTTCCTCGTTTAAACTAGAATTTTTTGCCATGAATGAGTTAAATGAACATCTATATGTGTTGGTGGTTTTGTGTTTGTTTCAGGAATACAAAGCTACCATTGAGTTTTATTGGGCCCCATTTCTGGTACACTCAAATTCGGACAATCCCATAATTGGAGATCCAAAGCAAAGAATACTAAGGGTAGACTCGGTAGCCAACCATTCCAAACATTGGACCAACGTCGATATTCTCGTATTCAATACCTACGTGTGGTGGATGAGCGGCGTCAAAATCAAATCCCTGTAATCTCTCTCATTAAAACTTAGAATTCAAAATTCAAAAACTTTGTGTTTAAATTAACATACGAACAAAAACACCACACAGGTGGGGATCGTTTGAGAATGGAGAGGAAGGATACGAAGAACTTGACACACCAATTGCTTATAAAATAGGATTGAAGACTTGGGCCAATTGGGTCGACTCAAATGTCAATCCCAACAAGACACGTGTCTTCTTTACAACAATGTCTCCGACTCACACAAGGTCATTCATTAACTTATTTTATTTTTATTTTTTTAAGCTCAAATTCACCGCTAACAGATAATGATATCTTTGAACAGAAGCATAGACTGGGGGAGAGCGAACGGGAGCAAATGCTTCAACGAAACAAAACCGATTAGGGAGAGGAAATTCTGGGGGAGCGGATCGGACAAGGGAATGATGAGTGTGGTGGCGAAAGTGGTGGGGAGAATGAAAATTCCGGTGGCGTTCATCAACATAACCCACCTCTCCGACTATCGAATCGACGCCCACACCTCTGTCTACACCGAAACCGGGGGGCGGTTGCTAACGGCGGAGCAGAAAGCGGACCCGTTGCACCACGCCGACTGCATCCACTGGTGCCTCCCCGGCGTCCCGGATACTTGGAATCAAATACTTTTTGCACATTTGTAACAATATTATTAATACAAACACAAACACAAATCAAAGTTTATTTCAATTTTTAATAAGAAATTTGGAATATGATTTAATTGTGTAATTATTTTATCACAAATCAAAGTTTATTCCACTTTCACACTAAGTTTTCATGGCTTTGTTTTGGCTTCCCAAAAGGTGTATCTCAATGAAGATAGTATTTTTAGATTATAAATACATGATCATTCTTTAAATTAGCCGATGTGAGACTTTCATCATCCAACACATACTAGTGTCGTATCTTAGCTTCTATGGTCATTCCAACATTCATTGTCATCTATCTGTGTCACACCGCACACACGCCCATCCATTAGTTTTAAATGGAATAACTTTCAAATAAAAAAAAATCTCAAAAATAACTTTAAATTTTGAAAAAGGTTAAAAAAATAGATTTATTAGACCGAAATTAATATTTTGTTTAAAAAATACCTAAAAAATTTTAAAATATTTCAAAAACTTCAAACCACTTTTAATACTAAAAATAATTAAAAAAATAAAAATATGTTATACCACATCTTAAAAATTATTCAAAAATTACTCATAAATTTTAAAAAATAACATTAAAAAAAAGTTAAAAAATAATCTATGAGAGGGCGGTAGACGATTTTTGTAATTTTTTTTATAAAATTAGGAAGGGTTAATACTATTTTTAAAATTTTATTAGTATTTTATTATTATTATTATTTTTTTGTTAATTCCTAAAGAAATTAATTTAGCTATAAAATATGGTATATTTTTTGGAGTTTAATATATTTATAAATCCGTTCCAAAAAAAGCCCATTAAGAATCCAATTAATGTGGCCCACTGCACTGGTGATATCTCGCTCCAATTGCAAAGTCGGGTCCAAAAGTTCTCCCTATAAATAACCGCCGTCTTCCCTCCATACTCCGGCAGCGGCAGCGAGGGTTTCCGAACGCCATTTCTACATTTCAGGGTTTTGCGAGATTTTACCGTTGACTATGGCGTCCATTATTTCTAGGAATGCCAAGCATTTTCACTTCGCCAATCGCTGTCTCTCTCTACACCGGCTGAGGTTACAGTCGCCTTCATCTTCGTCTTCCGTTCTAGCGGGCGCGAATCTTCATGATCCAGCTTTTCCTCATCTTCACTCGGTTAGTTTCCTTATCGGTTTTGAATTACTGGTTTTTTGTGTGGAGAAATAGCTGTTAAGGATTCGTGCGTTAGTTAATAGTTCAGTTTCTGGGAAATTTGACGATGTTCATGAATAATCGCTTCAATCAGAAAGTTAGTGGAAGATCGTAGGTTATACGCTATTTAGCAGCCGAATATTTTATGTTTAATTGTTTATAGTATTCCTGGCACGATGATACTATGAATTATTTTTCTTCGTTTTTCTTTTAAATTCTCACTTATCTCCATCGGTAGGGGGTTATACTATGAGAATTGTGTTTAGAATTTCTCTCTATTGGTGTTTTTATCTCTATTGTGACTATCTCTTCTTTCTTAGGGGCTTGGAATCAACTATTTAGCTTCTTATATGAGGCGGCTTTATGGTACAACTTCTACTACTCCGGATTCTCAAACCACAGCCTCCGAGAAATCGGCAGAGTCGAATTCTAGTGAAGGGGATGAGTCAGGAAAATCAAATCAGAGCCAAGATACTGGCAAACCTGTTCGTGGTGGGGTATGGTTACCTTAGTTGTTCTAATGGGGCTTTCTACATTTATCTATAGCTTTCTTTTTGGGGTTTGATTGCTTTGAGCTGATTGATTTACTCTTCGCAGCCTGTATCATGGTTGAGTTTTCTTTTGCTGGTTGCCACTGGAGCCGGACTGGTTTTCTATTATGACAGGGAAAAGAAAAGTCATATCGAAGGTAGACTACTATGGTGAGTTCTTGAGTGGCATAAATATTCTTTCCCACATTTTCTTAGAGAGGAAAATCTTCCAAGTAATGTCTACTCGAAAAGCTCGCTTGAGCAGGCAGAATTTAGGGGGTTTGTTTCTTAATTTGTTGTCAAATCATAACATGACTTGTAGGTACATATAGTATAAATATTTTAATTAATGCTTCCTCCTAACACATATACGACTCCCTGAAATAAGGGGCATAGCTTGAAGAAGCGAAGCGAGTCTAGAGTAGCAGCCTATTACTTACTATACTACATTTAGCAGTCCCCTCTCCATTACAGTCGAGCATCCTATAAGCTTTAAAACCTTTAATTTTGATATTTGAGAACAAAATAAGATGATGCTTATTTTTCAATGCAGTTTTTTACGGTGATCTATTGTTAAAATTTAAGGTACTTGTTCAAATGCACTCGACTCTTGTTGCGTACATCTTTGCCCATATTATATTTCTGGGTCCCTTTCCAGCTCCATAATGAGATTTATGTCTACTGTCTTTAGCTTTATGTGCATTCTTGTTGGTTGTTTCACCATTTTTTGGAACTGGAATCCGTTCTTCTGTAATGGCTATTGTATAATTTAACCAACTGGAAGACATTAGTGAGAGGCATTGCTTGTTTTTAGCAGTTAGGGGGCAATATTTTTTTTTGCTTGCTCACGTAGGAGTTTATTTTAATGTTGTCTCTCTAAATTTAGTGCGTGCTTGATTTGATTACTCTTCTGTTCATTAACAGAAATAAACAAGGCTTCCATAGAAGTCAAACAAGGACCGTCTGTAGGAAAAGCTGCTATTGGGGGGCCGTTTAAACTTGTCGATCATGATGGGAAGCCAGTCTCGGAAAAAGACTTTTTTGGGAAATGGACATTGATATATTTTGGCTTCACACACTGTCCCGATATCTGCCCAGATGAACTACAAAAGCTAGCTGCTGCAGTTGATAAAATCAGTTGAGTAAACTTTCCTGAAAGTCTTATTTTCATTTGCTTTCCTTCAGCTTATTTGATTTCTGTAGTTCTTAATAACAGTTTTGAAAACAGGATACTGTTTCGAAACTAGTTTTCCCAAAAAAATCCATGGTTTCATTTTGATATTAACAAAATATAACGATGGTATTAACAAATAATCCTTGAATTCTCTGTTGAACTTGAAATTTTTGTTCTGTTGTGGACGCAGAAAAGGCGGGAATTAAAATTGTGCCTATCTTCATATCCGTTGATCCTGAGAGAGATACGGTAGAACAAGTACGGGAATATGTCAAAGGTATATAGAAGTTGGTTTTGCATCTATTAATCATATAATTGTTAGTTGTTGTTAGACTACCAAATTACTATAATTTTTGCACTAATGTATGTTGCAGAATTCCATCCGGACTTGATTGGACTAACTGGAACTTCAGATGAGATACGGAATGTAGCTCGAGCATATCGAGTTTATTACATGAAGACTGAAGAGGAAGACTCGGATTATCTTGTTGATCACTCCATAGTGATGTAAGTAGGAGTGTTCGAATTCGGTTCAAAATTGTTGTTAAATTTTGAGACAATCTGATGGGGGGAAATTTGGCAGGTACTTAATGGGTCCGGAGAAGATGGAATTTGTAAAATTTTTTGGGAAAAACAACGACGTTGATTCACTCGCAGATGGAGTAATCAAAGAAATTAAGCATTACAAGAAGAAATAGAAAGCTTTTGATCAACCAAGTTCCATTATACTTCTACTACTACTATACTACTTCAATCCGGTCAGTTGATTTTCCAACTTTTGGTCATCCTACAATAGGTGATTTTGCCTTAATTAATAATATTCTATTTTCCTCTCCAAACATTTGTAGAACATTTAAAACTTATTTAGAGAATTAGCCATTGGTATGGCATTCTGTTCATGTTTTCATTTACATTCCCCTTTTTGATTTACAAATTTAAACTATAATATGAAACTTGCGATGAGTTTATAGATTATAGATTATAGATCTCACTCCATAAGGTCGTTATGCAATGAGTTTATATCATCATGAGCAATTGCTTTAATTATAGAGTGTAATAGACGAATGATTTATTGTGACATTTCCCTCTCTTATTATTATTATTATTTATTTTTGGCCAAGTATATAATGATCATATATCTTTGTAGACTGTCCTTTGGGATCTCAACTCCCCATCTCATCATCCCAAAAAAAATTGTGTTTTTACCAATTTGTATGTACCCCCTTCCCCTTCCCCTTCCCCTTCCCCTTCCCCTTCCCATTTCCCAGTTCCAGGGCATCTGATGTATGCAACAATCAAAATCTGGCTTCCTTCCTTTGTTGAGTAGTCGATCACATGAAACCCAAATAATCGAGAATTCAAACCATCGCGCAGTATTCCCCAGTTTGGTTTAGAGCACACTTCTCCGTTGTTCTTCACTTCTGAATCTCTTCCGGAATGTTGGCCTTTCCCAAGTAAACCAGCTGCATTTCCTCTCTCCAGATCTTTTTCATATTTTATAATATTTAAAGCAACGAAGAACATTGAAATTGTTAGATGATGATGCCAGAGATGTTCCAAATGAGGGGAAAAAATAGAGCAAGGAAAAAGATTATACCGTATCACGGAATTCCACCCTAATGTGTGGCACATTCGTTCTGTGAATATCATTTCCTACCGACCCTCTCCTGTAATATTCTTTTCCAATCCAATGAGCCTACAACAGAAAGGTCAGGTTCCAGAAGGAATAAATGAGTTTTTGCATCAACTCAATTTTGCTGCTCGATACATACTAAGAACTTGAGGACACAGTTAAATGGAAAAAGAAACATTTGATCTAGCTCGTTTAGGATTCTAACAAGAGGTAGAGAAAGCATAAATATTTTCCATTGAAGAACATATTTATAGACTAGATGGTCGTTTGATGCATCGTATGCAGGCGCGGGAACTAAATAAGAGGAATATGAAAACTGCATCATATATGGGTGAGGGATTGATTCAAAATTTAAATAGCCCCATGGTTCTGTATTGTACCTTTAGAGCATGAGAGAAACCTGATTGGTAGACAGAATTGCGAGCTATTTCACATAGGTCACAAGAACTTAGCTTCCACACCTGTAAAATAAAGAGTGGAGGCTCATGTACTGACCTCAGAAGAGAGTTGAAGGGGGTAAGGGTAAGGTCAACCAAAGCTACTCACCGAAGCAGCTATGCTATATTCTTCCACCAGAGGTTCTTTTGTTAAGTGGATTTGAAGAGGATCATCAGTAGAAAGAGAGACATTTAGACCACGAGCGAAGAACGTAGGGAAGGGATTCCGGTGATAGTCCAAGAACAGAGAGTTATTGCTCAGTGGTGACATAGCCAGACCAACCTGTTTATATGCATATGTCGTGTTCAAAATAAGAGAGAAAATTCTGCTGAGTTTAATGTTGTCCATACCTGGGCTAGATAATATAAATACTGAAGCACTGGAGACTTTCTCAAATTGATTCCATGGGCAATACTATGAGCAGTTAGGAAAGTTGCAGCAAGGTGGTCAATATCACCAGCCTGAAGAGGATTCATGCATTGAGTTGAACGTAAAAACATAACGTATGCATCAAATTTGAATAAATTTCGGAAGTACCTCCCCAGAATGCGGACGAAGATTTATAGTGGTCATGCCCTTTGATTCACGAAGCTGGAAAGCAAAATCGACAGGATCACCCACAAAAAATAAGAGAGTAAAGATCCCATTAAGCTGGAAAGCAATTTGATAAAGATATGGCAGAAAGTAAAGATCTTAAGATCATTTGGCGTCATAAACCTTGTTTAATGTGTAGAGATTGGCGTAGCAGTAATAGACATAGTATGAGAATGCAGGGTTAAAAATGTTTGTCCACTGAGCAGGAGTCGGCATGTGCTTGGTGGGGCGTCTTTCAGGCTTGCTTTCATCATCAACCAAATCCAAACCAACAACCTGAAAAGCTCATAAAGGAGAATAAAGTTTGTAAAGTATGTAAGTTACAATGGGAAAGTAATGAGACCACAATTCCATCGACAATAGTTTCAGATACAGCCATACAAAATCAATAAAAACACATTTAGACACGATCAGTCGATAAGGTCTTGTAAGATAAATTGAAGATTCTGTTGGGAGATAACAAACCTGTTTCAAGAAAACATGCAACTGCGGATGTGAATCTGGATCCACCGTAACCTCAAATAAAGGAATGAAGATGTTATCAAGAATGTTTTGAAACGAAGTCACAATCCCCATTTCCTTATACACATTGTAAAGTCGTGGCAGCTGAAACACAAACCATAATAAAATAAGACAGAAATAAACAGCATCTAAATTTAGATCTTCAGATAAAAAACTGACACATCAAGTTAGTGACACAATTATCCCAGAATTAATGCCAACTTCAGTTCACTAATAAAATCAATACAGTACACTAGAACCAAATTTGAACATGACCCAAGCATATATGATAAGCCAAAAGGACCCATTTTTTCCCATGTGATTTTGAAGGCCGCATTACCTGGATCAACCACACGACATTCTCACTGTACAGATCATTGTTAATTATCCAACTGGCAAGTTGATCCCATTCACTTTGCTTCCTTCCGTATATAGATATCCGATATTCAGCCATCTGCAAAAGATTGAAATATCAAACATGGTAGGTATATTGGAAAGGGATCCATATCTTGAAAGTAGGGAGTACAATGTATATTATTCTCATCTACTTTGAAGTTGCATAAAGCTATTATGAGTTTTTTTTTTCTTTTTCCATGCATATATGTTATCTAAAGTTCTGTACAGAGACATAAACATGCTGCCAAAAATTTTATACCAATTAATTAGCTCATCAGCTTTTATTCTTCCTAACATGCTTTACAGCCCGTCAAAGATCTACTAATGCATCAGATGGATGCTAGTATCTAGGGACGACAGCATTTTTTTCTAGTTGATCATCTAGTGCCCCCATTTTCTCTTTTCTTCTTTTATGATGACAGTGATAAAGAAATAGGAAAGATTTCATAAACTTAAAAATGATACTGTAGACGGTCCTGGACATATACATCACTAAAAAAATTTATTTCGTATATTGTAGATTTTGTAAACTTACAAACGCCAATTATATAACAATCACAATCTTTTTGGTATAAAAGTGCCCAAGTTTACTAAAGCATTCACAGGGTGTTCTACAGGTACAAATTTTAGTACGGTGACATGAGGTAGGAAATGTCTTGACAAGAAAAGCATTTAGAGCAGGGCTGAAAACAACCTCTTCTCATCTCTGTTCATTGCAGCTAGGAAAAAGCATTTTTAAAGAAGAAAGGAGAGGAAGAAAATTGGAAATTGAAATTTTAGAAATGATTAATCTGAGGGGAAGAAAAAAGAGAGAAATCAGGTTTTTAACAAATCTTAGGTGAATATGAGGAGTATTTTGAAGGGATTTAATTGAAATTTCTCGCCGAAGAACTTTGACTTAGCCACAAGGTCGCCGAAGATTACTGTTCTCCAAATACGTGAGAATGTAATGGGTGAATAGTAAAATTGGTTTGAGGCTTTTAATCAAAATGGTGTGGGTAAGAGAATTATGAACTCAATTTGAAGGAATAATCACGGTGGATATTGATTGAACTCGCAAGAGTATGAGGTATTTTTAGGCCAAAAACCTGAAACTTCTTTCATCAAATTCTCCTTATAGTGAATTTATTGTTATAAATACAAGTTTTTATACAAACTCATTTGGCTTATTCCATAATGAAATATGAATTGGAAGAACCTTTAGGTTTGGAACTCTTCCCTTTTCGAGATAGAGGATGATTCCTTTGGCAAGCCAATTCGTTTATCAACATTTGGGTACATTTGACTCAAAATGAATGAGATAATTTATGAGGCGTAGAGGACACTTGTTTTGATTGCTTCCATTTGGCTTTTGCTTCCAAGTTTCTTTGTAGTTTATTATTTATTTTATTACAAATGATTATAGTAGCCATTTCCAGTTTACTGGTGTTAGTTATCTCTAATCCCTTTAGGCGGCTCCCCTTTTAGGTTCATTCATAGGGAGTCGATATCATAAAAATTGCTAAAAGCACAAACAAACAGTTGAGAATACACCTAGTATACTATAAAAATTAAAGCCACGGCATAAAGCAAATGAAGCCAGAATATTGTACCTAACTATAAAGAAGGAAGAATGATGTACCTGATATTTACTTGCAGTAAGATCAGAAAATACTTGTTTGGTCAGCTCACCAAGGAAACGGCCTTCAAAGAGACACCCACCCATCAGAAACAAACAAACAAAAAAATCCAATAGTTTACAAAAGTTGAAAGGATTGAAGATATCCAAATATCTGTCAACAGTATTAATATATATATCACAAACGAAGATAGAGAGAGAGTGAGAGAGCGAGAGCTTCCACTAACAGTTGAAAAATATTGATCATTACATATACTGCAAATGCATGGCTTCAGCTTGCAGATTTTAAATGTTCATTATTCCTTTAACTAATTTCAACATGTAAATATGTAACACGAGAATGTGCACACAAAATCAAACGTCACACTGTTCTCAACATGCTGAATCTAATAGTTTATAAAGTAAGAAACATAATACCTTGAATTAGATTATCCTGCTTTAGGAAGATCTCCCTGAGTCGACTTTGACCACAGGGGTTGTATTTAAGGTTAAACTTATCAAAGCGGTGAAATGTGCTCTTGTCAGCATGAACATCCAAGAGGTCAACATTCAAGTCATACCTGTTCTTCAGAGGTCAAAAGAAATTAATACTCCATGCTCAGAAATATTTCATGAATGTCCAAAGTGAAGCAGTATCTCTTGTTTTCCCTTTTTGGACGATGAATAAAAACGGTTCTTCATCATCAAAGAAAATGGGTAAAAGAAAACTAACCCCGATA